TCTTGAAATTAGTAATGTGTGTTTTTTTACAACTATATATTTTTTCTTTATAAATCTGCAAAGAAAAAACATATACCGTAGTTCACTGACCAAAGTACCCGGGGTTCAATACAATCTAACCCCCAAAAAACTTATAAAGTACTCGTGGGTATCTTGATCAGTGACGGATATCTTGTATGGGGTACTTTGTACAGTCTTATATATAATGCAGAAATCAATATGTGGTATAGGAAAAAAAATGCCGTGCAAAGTAACCGTGTATTATCTTCGGTTAAAAAAAAATCTGCTATATAAAATACCCGGGTATTTTGAGTGGAGGTACACAAAAAGGGGGTACTTTGGTCAGTGCACTACGGTAATCGCGAGAACTAAAATGCATCTATATCATGATCCACTGGTCAAATGTTAACTTCTTATTTATATATAAACGTAAATACAGTCAATTTCTTCCTCAAGATAAAGTGAGCGAGTTTGCGCAGGTATTTCGTTATATTTTCTGATTAGAGATTCGCATCGTATATAATGATTAACGTACTAACATTAATTCAACTAGATGACACCATCCGAATTACTTGTGCAGACTCAGAAGGCAGTTGGAGAGAAAGAATTAATTGAGTGGCACGAAACTCTTATTCAGTTCAGAGAAGAAGAAAAATCTCTCATAACAGTAATATCTATATTCATATATTATGTCATATAAGTTTACGGATTATTCTAATTGATCAATTGGACGTAAAATTCACAGTCAACTAAAGCCGATAATGAGCAGGTAGAAAATCTAGAAAAGAGAAACTCAGTTCTGGAAAAAGACGTAACACGCTTCAGAGAGAGGGAATCGATATTGAAACGGGTAAGTAATCGAGTTTTAATATTGTTTATATTTTCATTAATACGCGTATCTGATCTATTTAATTGTGCAGATTCGATTATACGAACTACGTATACCTTTTGCCCGCTACGGTGTTGCGAAACATTTGTATGATGTAGAAAAACAAAAACGTGCGGAAGCGCACTTAGAATATCAAAATCTTGCTAAAGAGAATGAACCTGCAAACGCTAGAAAAAGGTATTAGGACAAAAATCAGTTATTTCTAATTCATAGCTATTGTTTTTAACTCATTGTTAAAATAGTGAACTAGAAGAATTAGTATCACGGACTGCCAAAGAGAAAAAAAGATGCACTGAATTGTATAGCACAAAAAAACGGAAAATGGAAGAAACGGCAAATAAATTAGAACAATCGGTTGGTTTAATTTGGATTACGACTTATATTTTACCTATTAAAAATGATAAATTAATTACACTTTATTGACTAAAGGAGACAACAAGTGAGAATATTCGAAGGGATTTAGCGGATCTCAAGAAAAAGGAAAGGACAAGAAAAAATCGTATTGCTCAACTTCGTGCTGACATTGCCGAATTGGAAGAAAGAACTAGAACGCCACCTTTAGCAAGTGATGACACAGATCTTCGGCGAAAATGGGTATTTCTTTCGTAACCTTTGTTTGGATAGTAAGCACAAATCTCATAACTAAGATTATGTTTACATTACTTAGGATGATGTAGGACGCCGTTTAGGAGAATTAAAACTACAGCTGAACGAAAATAAATTTAATCAAGATGAAATTAACTTAGAGGCCAACAAAGTAGATCGCGAAATGCAAGGGATAAGACGGCAGTATATATTATTTTATATTTAATAGTTTTATGAATTATTCAATGATACGTGAAGTAACTGCTTTTTATTACAAGACTCAAAGAACTTGATGACGTAAAACGGCGTCGTCTTGAAACCATTCGACGCGTTGATTATGAAACTTTTCGAGCTTATGAATGGTTGCAGCAAAATCAGGACAAATTGAGTGGACGCGTTTTTGGACCAGTTTGTATGGAAATAAACATTAAAGACATGCAATATGCTGATGCAATAGAGAATGCGCTGGGGAACGTTAATAAGGTAAAATAAAATAAAATAAAATAAAAATAAGAGCTTTATCAAATATCAGCTAAGGTAATTGCTTTTATAGACATTCGTATGTGAAATGGAACAAGATTATCATACTATTACCAGAGAACTCTGCGATAATCGCCGCATGAAAATAAACGTTTTTTGTCCTAGAGCAACCATGGATTCGTTTCCTCCTCCTATACCACATCAGCAGGTAACATATTTGTAAATGTTTCTTAACGTTCTATATAAGTGCAAATTTTTAAATAAACACCATGTCTTTAGCTTAGATCCTATGGTTTCGTAAGCTACCTTCTGGATCTAATAGAAGCACCTCCACGGTTGCAAGTCGCACTTTGTGATATGTCCAAATTGCATGCGATTGTAAGTATGGTATTATTTTTTGTGCATATCATTTATCGAAGTCTTACTATTTTACTCAAAAATTCTAAAGCCTTTGGCGAGGAATGAGTCGGATATCAACCATGACGTTATTAAAAGCAACAAGGCTTTTTTTAAATATTATGCTGGAGAAACGTCTTATTCGGTTTCGTTTTCTAAATATGGTCAAAGGTTTTCACAAGTCTTCACGAACAGAATAAAACCATCGAGATTCTTTACCGCAACAAGTGAGTTCCGCTTATCTTCGATATATCTGCGTTGCGTTGATTTATGACATACTTCTAACTTAATCAAATATAGTGAACATTGAAGAAAAGCATGAGCTTGAGAGGCAGCTTTATGAATGTCAGACAAGGCTAAATCAATTTGACCAATCGCTTTCTGATTTAAGGAAAGAGTATGGGAATCTCCAAAAATCCATTGAGTTGTTGCAGAGTGAACGGGTAATACTTTATACTATTTGGAATTGACAATTTATTTTATGAATTTTTTTTTTTTATTAAAATTTTTGTTGCTGTTTAGAATGCAATAAATGATGAAAAACTCAAAAATCAACGTGCAGTAAGAGAATTTGAGAAGCTGAAAGTTAGACTCGGTAAGTTTTATATTAAAATATCGCTGTTTTCAGTAAGATGCATTCTCAAATTATTTGGCGATCATCGGTTTAGGATCAAAAAGAGACCAATTGCAGCGCGAACTTGATCAACCCGCTTCGATTATGAACGAAGAAAATGCATTAAGGAAAGAATTTAGTAAAATCGCCAAAAAACGAGGACAACTTGTTATACAGTTTAAGGTTTGTGTAATGTTATTATATTTAAATTATTTAATTTCGCAAAGTAATAATCTATTAAATCCATTTTTCTCTTTTTGTTACAGAAAATAATGGATGAAAGTATGCAACTATTTTCAGGACGAATTTTAGCGACATTAAAGCATATGCAAGCTTCAGCAGATCTTAATGCATTAGAAAGACAAACTCAAGACAGAGATGATGCACTAACACAGGCTAAAACAAAGTTTACGGAAGGTAAATTATTCTAACTTTTTTTTTTTTTTTTTTTAATATTCACGAACGTAGAAATCATAACTTACTGCGATGTATTAGGTCGACAA